ATTGAGTTACTGGCCCTGACTGTAAGACAGGGCTGGGGATGCAGTGTCAGGGATCAGAGACTAAGTGATGCTGAGCGCGGCTGTGGGGGGAGAGGAGAGGAGCCAGGAGGGAGTGAGAAAAGGCGGGGGCACGCCTGCATGTCTGGGAGATACAATGTGGCGGTCCCTCTTGCTTTATTTTCATAACTATATATCAGCACCAAGCAGAAGCTGAAATCCCCAAGCCTTTAAGTAGCTGTTTGACAAACCTGGGCTCCCTCAGCACCCCACGCAGAAAGAACACTTAGAGCACTCAGCCTAATCATCTTTATTTTACAAAGGGAGAAACTGAGGCCCCGAGAAGCTCTCCTGCACAGGAGGCTTCTGTGTCTAATTGGGACCTGGCCCCAACTACCCTGACGCACACAGGGTGGTAAATCAAAACACAACAGGAGTTCTCCAAAATCACATCTCTCAGAACGGCTTAAGTGTCACCTTTGAAGATAGTGTGTTTCCAGTTCCAGCTGAAGATATATGATGAAGTCCAACTCCTTCTGGGGATCCTTCACATTTTGTCTGACTAATTTGACCATTACCTTCCCTCCTTCAGCTTTTATCAGCAGCCTGTCTGTAGTTTATGACTCAATGCTTTAGAGCAGAATTCTCAGTGCTGCTGAACAATGCCTGTGGCCAGTGCCTGCTGGGGGAGTTATCACTGCACTGATAGCATGTTTTAACTGAAATACCGGCCTGGTGTATGTTATATTTTTAAAAGGGGGAAAAGGGACAAGATAATTTTCACAAGCCAGAGGATGTAGCCTGCATTGCCCAAGAGGTCTTGTGGGTGGTGTTTGTTTTAATAAGAAACTTCTTATGTGCTGAGGAATGAGGCACTAGGGGTGGGAAAGTGGGAAAGGGATATCCCCTGGGTGTTACATAATAACGCATTGGCACCTTGGGAATACTTCCGGATGTGTGGGCTTCTGAAAAGTGAATGAGAGTGTCCCCATAAATCTGTCACCCACCCGCACACTGGTGTTACTGCCCCAGGGAAAACAGCTCTTCTAACTGGTCAGTATGAGGACAAGGACAGAGAAGGAGAAAGAGTGAGACAGAGAAGGAAAAAAGGAAGAGGAGGAGGATGGAAAGAGAAAGGAGAAAAGAAAAGTAAAAAGGAGTGAGGAAGGAGGGAAGGGAGGAAGGAAACAATGAAGAAGGAAAGAAGAAAAGGGAAGAAGAATCAAAAAGGGAGGAAGAGAAGAGAAGGAAGGAAGGAAGGAAGGAAGGAAGGAAGGAAGGAAGGAAGGAAGGAAAGAAGGAAGGAAGAAAGGAAGAAAGGAAGAAAGGAAGGAAGGGGAGAAGGACAGATTTGGGGAAATGTTTGGACTGTGAGATTTCTAACCACATCAATGGATTAATTCATTGATAGGTTCACAATTGAATGGGATATTTGGAAGGTGGTAAAATCTTAAGAAGTGGGTGTGACCAGAGGAAGTAGGTCTTTGAGGGCATGCCTTTAATGGCGATATCACCACAGGCTCCCTGGCCTAATTTTCTGTCTTAACACAGTCCTAATACCCAAGATACCATAGACTGAGGTCTGTGAAACTATGAGACAACCTAAGTCTTTCTTCCTTATAAATTGTTTTTCTCAGGTGTTTTATTTCAGCAATGGAAAGCTAACACATCATGTTATAAATTAACGCTAGTTTTACTCTTGCTGTTTTTTTGGCCACTGTCTAGAGCAATTTCTTTATCACACATAATAATAATGACAATGTCCACTTGGCAAAGCCTTCCACACTCCACTCCCAATTCTCTGATTCATTAAAGCTAAGTCTTAGGTGGGTGTGGGGCATATAACTGCATTCCCAGTACTCTATGAAGTTTAGGCAAGAGGACCAGAAGTTCAAGCCCAGGCTGTGCAATTTAGCAACTTAATGAGAGTCTGTGTCAAAATTTTAAAAGAGGGCTGGAAAGATAGCTGAGAATGAAGGTCCTCAGGTTGAGCCCCAATATTAAGAAAAAAACTAAGTTTAGCTTTCTGAGAGTGAAACATTTACTATCTATTCTTTACTACCTATCCTTCAAACATTCACTATCTATTCTTTCAGAAGGACAAAGTTTTCTTGATTCATTCAAATTTGTCTTGGGAATATACTCTGGGTACCAACTTCTCTGGATGGGTTCCATTTTGTCTAGAATGCCTGAATTGGTGTGAGGATCTAAGTTGCCAGTCAAGGGAACATCTGAGGTCATTCCTTTAACAAAAATACCACTCAGTGTGCAGGAATAAGAAAGATCCTTCCTGGGATCAAGCCACACAACTAATAGCTTTGTATTCTCTTCCATTAAATTGTTAAATAAATCACTTTGTAGTGGGATGTTCCTCACTCACTCTTAAAGCTCTGCAAGGCCAGGGGCTCTCTTTTTTACAAGCAGCTTATCACAGCCAACTCTGGAGTCAACTCTTTGGGTTTTAATCAGCTCTACCGCATAACTCTATATCCTTGGATCATTACCCAATGCCTCCACTTCCTGTTTGATAGACACAGTGCATAAGGGAGTTGCCATGAGAATGTAACAGATGTTCAGTGAATACTATCATCAGCAACAGAACACTTAGAACCCTGTAGAGAAAAAGTCTATAACATGGACTAATGGGGTCCAAGTCTCTTCAACTTGGTAACTCCCTGGTCTTCATCTTTTTCTTTATAAACTTAATTTAACGCAGTTTGAAAGCCATTGCAATCATTCACGTCAGTCATTTTGACCCAACTGTAGAGAGGGAGGCATGTCCAGTGAGGCAAGCTGGGGTAGGTCCACCATGCAGTGGTATTTCCAGCAAATTCTCCTACCCAGTACTATATACTTCACATTCAGTTCTTTTTCTAAGAAATGGTGAACGAAGTCACAATTTTCCTTTATTCTACATTCTACACTGGACTCCAATAACCAAGAGCATCAAATACGTCAAATCCATGGGCCAAGAGTTGACAAAATTGGTAGGTAAAAGGCCAGAAAGTAGGTATTTTAGGTTCTTTGGGTCATACAGTTTCTGTTGAAACCACTCAACTCTGTTATAGCATGAGAGCAGCCACAGGCCATTTATAAATGAACAAGTGTAGCTGTGTTTCAATGAAACTTAATCTACAAATATAAGCAGTAGGCTAGTTCTGACCTGTGGACCATGACATGCGGAATTCTTCCATGGACTATGATCTTCCACTTGTAACAGTCTTAGTTTTGTGTATTATTGTGCAGTTCTAAAACAATAGTATGTGGGTGTCAAGGCTCAAGTATCGCTTTGAGGGTACCATGTCCTAGCTTTACCACATACTCCTTTCTTCCTGGAAGCATTTGAGTTACAGATCACATTAATGTGAGTGCAGCAAGCACGTATTGTCCAGCAGGTTCTGGTAGTAGTGTTAGTTGCCATAAGTATGATGGTAAAGTTGAGGTTAAGTAGAGTTCACAATTATAATTAGCCTACTACCTATATTTGTAAATAAAGTCAGCCACGCTCACTGGAAGTCACACACAACAGAAGTGTAGATAACTAGAGACCTCGAAACCCAATTGTTTCCATTTACAGGAGGTAAATTGCGGCCCAGACTAGAGAAATGACTGGGCGGACTTTATTCAGGTTCTCAGCACAACTCTGGCCAGACCCTGGTTTTCTTAATTTTACTCAAGGTTTTTTCTGCTGGACCACTATGCTAGTATCAAGCTTTTTACTACGAACCACACTCAAATCAACAGATGTGAGAAAAACAATTTTCTGCAGATTAAAAACCCAAGGCCTTGCCTAGAAGCTCCCAGGCCCTTCCCTCTTCAGCATCTACCTTTTCTTCCTTTTCCACCCACAAACACTTGTAGAGTATCTCTAGTGTATCTCTAATGTGTCCCTCAGCTCCTCCTTGGTGCCAAGAGATAGCAGGTGCTCAATAAATGTGCATCAGGAATGGAATACAAGGTAGATGATGTAGATTTTGTCTTTATGGAGCCCAACATACTGGAGAAAGAATGTCCAAACGCACCACCGTAATGCACTGCAGATGCAAGGATGCGTTGACATCTCCTCCCCCTTAGTCTGCCTGGAAAACTGCCTTTCAGTAAGAAATCTTCCCACCGAGGTTTTCATCCCCTCTGTAGCTGCCCCTTCCCTTTTCAGATAGAGCACCTCTGTCTTTTGTACTTGCAAATGAATTGTGATTAGTTTTCACCTCCAGCCCAGGGGATTAGCCAGGGGACCTTTGATCTTCAGGTATCGATTTGCATCTTAAAGGAAGTATGATCTCATCTGGGCCAGCTCAAAATTCCATCCCTGCCCCCAACCCCTGTCTGTTTACCAGCCCGGGGCTGGCCTAGGCCTCCCAAGTGGGACTGAAATAACAAGATCGGCCAGACTGTGCCGAGAAGGCAGAGGAAAACACATTTCCCATTTGACTCTGTAAAGGTGGGAAAAGGACGTTTGCTTTCTAAACACAGCCTGGTCTGCTATTTTTCTTCTTTCAGAGCAGACTACCCCTCGTTCTGAATCTGCAACGAGGATCCTGTCAGTCTCTGGACCCAGGGTAGAGGCTGTGCACCACAATGGGCTGAGCACAAACTTGAGAACCCGACAAAATCAGGTTCAAGTCCCGCTTATGCCTTCAATCACTTCTGACCTGTAAGCTCTGGACAAGTTCCATGATCTTCCTGGCTTCTGATTTGTCTTATCTCCAAAGAAGGAGTACCTTACATATCTAAAGCAACAGTCATCTTGGACAGTTGGTCTGGAGAAAAGCAAGGAAATCCCGATTTAAAAGAGAAAAGCTCCCTGTCATTGTCATCGTGAATGAGTATAGAGTTGTACCCCTTTTGTTTTGCTTTGTTTTTAAAAACTGTGTATGTCCTGGTGCCTAAAACAGTGCCTCACAGATAAGCACTGGATAAATGTGGAACAGAGAGGAGTGATGTTTCAGTCATAACTGTTGTTGTGATTGTACTCCATCCATCAGTCAGGCCCAGAGACTTACCAATGCAGTTGAAGGAAACTTCTTGTTGGCAGAAAAGGGAGCAGCCATCACCATTGATCTTGTTCATGTCATCACATTCCTCCCCTTGGCCTCTGCACAATGGATATGGAACAGAAATTTTCCAGATCAGTTTCAGAATGGAGGCTGGACAGGCAAAAGTCTCACAGACCTTGCCCGAGACCTCACACAAGTCCTTTCTCTTAATCTGAGTCTGTTTCTTCATCTCCAAAATGAGATTCATACATGGTAGCGATTTCTACAGTACTACTACATCTGCTTTATTTTCTGTTTCTGATGACAAAGAACAATCTGGTTTCAAAGTCATTCTTTGAAATCTCAAGTCAATCAAGTTAACAAGTCAGTTGGGAGTAAGAAATGGATGAATAAATGTAAAAATAAATGAACACATCTTGCCCCCACGGTGTCTAGAAAACTCTACCGTCATTTTCATGTTTTTTATTCCGAAAGAGTGGATTTGAAGAAAATTTTGAAGGTCCTACAGCAAAATGGATTTCCTTCACTATTCCTTGCTTTAATAGTCTCCTTTCTCCCTCACCACACCTAAAGGTAAAGATCTTGTTCATTCATACTCTCAGATTTAGCCGTCCATTCATTGGAAAGCTTTACTTTCTCCTCTGGGTATATTATTTCATGGTGTCAAGAACAGCTGGGCCTGTGGGACTATGCTCTTAAGAAAAAAAAATGCTCCTTCTTGTTTTTCTTGGAATTATTTCTGTCACCTAAGGGGGATTTTGCAGAGGTTGGGCTGGACAGAGATTGAATGATACTCATTTTCTGAACTGGGCTTAGGTGAGCAAAGGCAAGAGCAAACTCTGAAAGAATGAATGGACTGCTGCTTTCTGCAGCACTCCCTTCAGGAAGAGGAACCTGGCACCCAGAACCTCATGTCCAAACCAACTGGGCAGCAATCTTGTGTAAGTCAGTTGGCCTCTCTGATCTGTGATATTGAAAAGTAAACGAATTAAAAGTAATGTACAGGAACCTAATAACCTAAGTGAATGCAAACGGCATACATCATAAACATGAGACAAGATTAATAATACCAACAAGAATGAAAATGGAAAACAGGAATTTAGAGGAGGAAGGAGGGATGGGGAAGGGGATTAGAAAGAAGAATCAAGTTGTTTTATGCACATGCACCACTCCCCAGGATGACTGTAAACTGAATGCCCTGCAAATCAGCACTAATAAAAAACAGTGCATACAGTTAAAATTCTGTTTCTCAAACACAATAGCCACATATCAAGTACTCAATAGCAACATGTCACTAGGGGCTGCTTCACTGCTCAGGAAAGAACACATTTCCATCACTGCAGAAAAACCCACTGAACAGAGCGCTCTTGGAGATGCTGAGCCTCCGTTTTCTCCTATATTAAAATGGAGATAGATAGGCCTAGAGCTCAGGGGTGGATGCAAAATTGGAATGTAACTGAAAGTGTCTGGCACAGTGTGTGGCATGTAGTAGGTGCTCAGGAAATCCCAGTTGCCATTCCCTCTTTGCCTTGGGAGGTCTCTGTAGAATGTGTGGCAACCGTGGCTCCCTCTTCAGAGACCAGCTGGGAGCTGTCTTAGCATGGAAGAGGTATCAGCCTTTTCCTTTTACCCAGGCGATTAACACCAGGCAATGTTTGTTGTTTTTAGGAGGTGTCAGAGTAGCAGGATAGTGCCTCATGATCCATCCTTCAGATGGCCCAGGGTGCACTGATCTCCACGGAGCCACCCAAGCTCTTTCCTCTCTGTGAAGCAAGAGCAAAAAGGCTCATATCCCTGACCTGTCCAAGCACTTTCTGTTAGTGAATCTTCTATGCTGGAAACCTCTGGTAACCTTCTGCTTCTTAGCTATTTTATAGGTTACCTGGAGAGAAACTTTTCTTTAAACCTACCTAGGCTAGTACTAAATCTCACAGACTATTTCCAACCTGCTTTCCATCACCACCCAAACTCTCTCAGTATGCTCTATTAGTTTAAGCAAAACATTAAGGTCATCACAAATGCCTTCTAAGCATGACGGATCTATCATTAGATAGAGAGGTCTCGAGAAACCTTCTTTGACCTCTGGGCTTGAGTGGGTGGCTGTCATTTTCTGTGTTCCCAGACATCTAGCTCCATCTATCACAGCAATTGTCAAACTAGCCATCTTGGGTGTTGCTGGAGAAACTTCTATACTATTTTGTGAGATGTGAAAAGGAGTGAAAGTCTTCATCATCTTAGCATCCCAGTGTGTGACACAGGGTCTGGGATATAGCAGACAGCCTCTCCTTTAATTATTAGTTTTATGGGGTGGTCATATCACACATCAATACAGTGATAAATCCAGATGAAAAATGGGACTTCCCTTCATAGACTGGTTGTGCTCTTTACTGAGGGTGTCTCTGTGTATTATTCGTCTCTTCTATAAAATATGATGACAAATCCTACCTCATATGGCTATTTGGAGGACTCAGAAAGAAAATAATGTAGCACAGTGGTTTGTGCATAGTACAGGGTCAGTAAGTATTTATAAATATTATTATTATCATAATATTCACTCTGTGCTTTTGTCTTTACACTATCTTTGAAACTGAGAATCAGCTACTGTGAATCACTTACAATGGAGCACTTAACTTTTAGGGGCCCATTGAGTGCTGAGTCTATTTATCTTTTTTTGTAAATTCCATTATCGATAGCTAAGATGACATCTTTCTTTTCGCCTAGCACATCATTTCCCCTCCCTCTTCCTTCCCTTTCTCCCCACCTCCCCAGAGGGAAATCCCTTAAAGAACATCTGCAAGCTGCCTTCAGTTTTGTACAAAATATGTCAACAAATAAAAATATATATTACTCCTTTAAAAACTTTGAATTTGTACTTTTCTATTTATAGCGGACACACCTCTGGGGGCTGAGGGGACAGAACCTTGTACACATTATTACCTCTCTGTGCAGAGATTTGAAAAGGCGTAACTCAGGTCTTTTCATCTGATCATATTTGGAATATTCACCATTCCTTTCAGTGTTAACTCTCAATCAGAAAGCAGACTGCTGGCTAAAACTATGGCTACGTGGGTGAGCATTCATGTGCAAACTCTTTATGCGCAGAAATGGAAATTTTTGCTCCACTCCTAGTTGCGACCTTCACCCCATAACAGAGGTTTCAAGTTAACATCACGTATCACACAATCATCAGCCACAAATTAAATTGCTCTTCCCCTCTAGCATTAGTGCTCGTGATAAACAGAATAAGCAGTTCTGTAGCACTTCTCCTTTATGTATGTGCTACACCTATGAGCTGATTCATGATCTACAGATGAGTGATTTCATCCCACTGTGCGGTAAATGCTCCTTACACTGCCCCTCCCCTTACAGAAATGGTAATTGCAATTTGACGCTGCACAGATATTATGTGACACCCAACAGTGCCATTTAATGAAGGCATTTTGCCAATAGCTTATTTTGCCATCCTCACACATAATGTTTATTGTTAAATCTGTCAATAGTTTTAAAAATCTCTTAGTGACAGTGTGACGTGCAAAGAATTATGTTAACAACCAGAAACATAATTTTAGCAATAAGGAACTTCATTTTGAATGACCATGGGTCTCTTCTCTGCCTCTAAAGATGAAACTCTTAAATTTCTGCCAGAAAAAAAATACTGTGCTTATTCTGAAAGAATTCAAAGGTTTCCATATTGATTTTTATAAACAATACAGAGGTGCCAATGGCTTATTGCATAAGATTTTGCCCAAAGGACAAGGGGATGAGTAGGGTAATAATCCTTAAAACACATACTGCAGGCAATCACCTTTATACTTTCTGGTCATAAAAGAAGATGCAAGTTTTACAATCACTGATTCATTTGCCTCAGAGTGCACATCCTTAGACTCAGTATTCACTCCGGAGCACTGCTTACTAATTATGTCTTCACCACTGTACTATTTTAGAATATTTTGTTATTGCCAGCTGTGGTGGTGCGTTCCTGAAATCTCAGCTGAGGTAGCAGGAGCACAGATTTGAGACCAACCTGAGAAACTTTGTGGAATTCAGTGTCAAGAGAAACTCTGAAAAAGGGTTGGTGATATAGCACAGTGGTATAAAGCACTTGCTTAGCATGAGGGGCTCCCTGGCATTGGAATAGGAAACTTGGTTATTTTTATGAGCCTTTAACCCACTTTTGACATTGCAGTTTAATGTTTGTTAAATATTAAATTTTAAATATTGAAATGTTGTGACCTAAATTACCTGTGTTCTCCAGGTGAATGTGGGCCATGACAGAAAAAAATCTAATAGACTACTTATTGAGCTATAAAATAAATAAGAACAAGTGCATGATGGAACTTCTGCCTAAATCAATTACTATACTACATATTAGAGAAATATATGTGCTCAAAAGAAGAGTCATTGATTTTCTCCCAAGGCCAGCAAATTACTTGAAGACCAAATAAGGTTGCTGAGATCACTGGTACCTCAGGTCTCATACTAAATATTTTGTAAGCTCTTCTCTTCAAGCACATCATCCACCTCTTGACCTAACTAGCATTGTCTCTCTCCTTCCACTTAGTCTGATCTACTTACTTCTGGATAATGCCATCACCACAGTATCCGCCTCCATGGATGTATATGGCAGCAGGTGATGCCTCACTTTCTTCAGTTCCTGAAATGGTGATAACCCGGTACTGGTACACACTGCCAAGTTTTAGGTCCCTGCAAAATGTGAAGAAGATTATTGGTCAGAAAAACACAATGCTGGGGGTAGACAGAATAGAATGAAATCTTGATTTCTCTGAGTGCATTCTATCAGTCTTGCTTACTTTTTGAAATCAAATGCAGAGGTATCCAGTAATTTTTATGGTCTGCTGTGGTTAACATAACCTGCTAAGTATAACGGGCTATGCTGAAGTGTAAACCAATATCAATTAGCTTCAACTGACTGATAACCATATGCAATACTCGATGCTTTTCACTTTTCACTTTTACAGCTCTGGTGGAAAAGTATCAGTCAGCACGTGATCCATAATGCAAGTAAGTGTGTGAGAGAAAGCCACCCAGGAACAACAAATTGAGTAAGCATAAGCTCAGAGGGGAGAAAGTCCACATCAGATTCTCGAGGTGTTGCTTGATTATTTGGGCTCATTTTAAGCACAAATGAGGTATATATATATATAGTATAGTGATTCACCTGTTCCCTCCACATGCTACTTCCCTTGTTTCTTATTCTTGACTGAAATAATAATAGCATTCTGTAATTGACTATTAGCCTTGGGCTGAGTACTTTCTTTTTTTTTTTTGCCCCATCTGATAATCAAAAAACTCTACCTAATTGCTAGTATTCTCATCTTTATTATACAACTGATGAATTTGAGGCATACAGAGGTTCGGCAACTTGCTTAGAATCATATGCTATTGCATAGTAATCTATATTATGCTAGTTTTAATAATCTTATCCCTCGTAAAAAAAAAGTCTTGCAGTTGCAGTCCCACGGGCTGGTACCTGTCAAGTTTGCAACATGCCCACACTGCATCTCTTCCCTGACCTCAAGACCTCCTGGTGCATGTTCCAGCTTCTACCTGTAACCCTAACCCCAAATTCTTTACAAAAGAATCACCAAGTAAACTTGGGTAAATTTATATATATATATATATATATATATATATATATATTTCAAATTACCAAATCCCACCCTTATTTTCTTTTGGATCATTTCAAGAGGAGATATTCTTAGGGGCTGGGGATTTAGCTCAGCGGCAAAGCGCCTGCCTGGCAAGCGCAAGGTCGTGAGTTCAGTTCCTGGTACCGGAGAAAAACAAAAAAAAAAAACAACCAAAAAAAAAAAAAGAGATATTCTTCATTTTCATCTCCCTTTTCACCAGTTATACATTTTTAAAATAATAAATAAGTACCATGGGAAAAAGGTTCAAAATGATAATGAAAAGAATTCCCATCAGATTCCAGAGTTGAGGGGGTAGAGTTTATAAACAAAGAACCATGTCAAAAGAAATCTGAAGCTATCTGTTGTTTCAGCTGCTGTTAAGGCCGAGGCTGTTTGGACAAGACCGGCAAGGTAACAGGTGCAGGAGCAATAGACAGAGAAGCTCTCGCAACTTCCAATGCCACAATGAGTTGGAGTTTATGAGCAATGAAGGATTCTAGTAGGAAACATAACCTTGTTGAGAATTTTATGCATATTACTTCCAAAGGGAGCTTGTTTTACTCCCTGTTTACAGGATGGGAGCAGCTACTAATATTGGGGGTAGACCAGAAGTCGCTAGTGACTCTGTTGGTGTTCTGCTAACAAAGACTAAGTAAGTGAATATATAAACATCTTGAGATATTGTATTTATAAATGATAGTTGTGTTGCAAATCTCTGGAATGCCAATTTGTTGATAAAATTATATGTTTTATATGTAATCTTTTTAAAAGTTTATTAGCTATTTTCTTCAACTTCAGAATAATAAGTATATAATTTGTGTGTGATGCTTCTAAAATCACAGCAGGGTGGCACAGAGAATGGCATTCCCAGGGCATATACGAAGGCACAAGAGAAATATGACATGTATTATACCATACATTCATTTTGCTCTAAAATGGGAGGTTTGCTTTTTATTTAAAGAGTCTGGCCGTGTTATAGAACAAAATAAGGAACTTGCTTCAGGCTGCATCTCAGGCCACTCCTGGCGTACAGTCACTGTCTGTGCTTTTTGACTTTGGTAGAAAAGCATGTCAGTGTGAAAAACACATTTCTACTTTGTTTTCCATCTGTGGCATGTGTCACAAATGATTTGTGGCTGAGAATATTTAAAGCAGTGGACTAATTTTTGTGAATGTTTTACTTCTCCTCCCTACATTTTCCCTCCCCCCTCCTACTCCTCTTCCTCCTCCTTTTCCTCCCCTTCTCCTCAGTTTTACCAACTTACATATAAGCAAACATGTCTGCGTACTGGGTACGTGACTCTTTAGAGAGGTGACATCTGTCATAAGGATGGGGCTACCACATCTCATGTGTGCCATAGTGTGATGGAAGGACTTCTTCCATCACATATAAATCCATGTGTGTGAGAGAGTTTGTGCTCCTGCCAGGTGACTCACCCCAACCTCTGAAAATTCTGGATCCTAGTTTTGTCTTCATCCTGGGTTACAGTATATATATCTCAGTAACTTCCATGCACTGACCTCCTGACAGTAACTTCCGTGCACGTAGCACACAGAGAACACCGCAATGGTAGGGTGATCCTTCTTCCAACTGTGCACATATGGCTCACGGCTCATGACCTCACTGAAGCCTAGCGGCAGCTGTAGGAGGCAGTGGCTGTTATCCTAACTTTTTAGATAGGAAAAAAGGAGCTCAAGTCACTCTCTCAGTAAAAAACTGAGGAAGCAGGACAGGTGCAACGACTATTAGAAAGATTATGTTTATCTACTGGAAAATTCCTGTAATAAAATACATCTTCCCTAAGGTAAAGCTAAGGTTAATGGCTACAAAGCCTTTCCTCAAGGACCTAGGTACAAGACAATTTTCTCAGAAGGACAAGGAGATGGCCTGTAACGACTATGCTGAAGGTTAGAGCCTATGTCATGGTTGATGCAAAAGTAAGACGTTTATTTCAATTTGTTCCCTTCAACTACTTCTAAAAGCATCTGGAAACTTCTATAGTGCTATAAAATCCTTCCTTTCCAACATCTTCCACATCTAAAATGACCTAAACTCTCCTCACCCAAGGTTTCCTGATCAGAATCGCTCCTTTTGTTTGCCCCTGCAGCATCTCAATGTTGACAACCAAAGTGGCCTACTTCCTCCCCTTCTCAGTCCTGCCAGCACTGCCAGGACGTCCTTTCCTTCAAAGTAGCTGCTCCTCCTGCAGTGCCCGGAGCTTGCTTATAAGCAGAAACTTCTGGTTTGTTCCATTTGGAATGATGACTTTACCACTTCATCTGAGAGGGGATCATTTTGGCCACTTCTAATACTTTCCCCAGGATTTTAAACACCATTTTAAGTTTTGTTTTAAAGTTTAAACTTAATTCGTATTCAAAAAAGTCATCAGGTTTCACACTGCTTCGCTGGTTAATTTATATTTCTAGGTAATACGTTTATCCATGATGGATTGTTTGGCTAATGTGAAAGGATTGCTTGAATGTTAAAAGAACTCTTTTCCTACACGTAGCCATAATTCCTTCGCAAATGTCTGAAATGACATATCTGTTTTAGGTTTGCATTTCTGACTATGAAATACAAAAATGTTGATATTTTCCATTGACAGGATTTCCTCAATGTTTCTCCTCAGAAATGTCACATTGATGGCATTTATATATCATAACCTTAGCTAGCATTTAGTTACAGGTTATGAAATTATTCTTATACAAATATTCAAAATGTGTGAGCTCCTAAGTACCCTGTAACTTTTGCCTAAATATTAAAATAAGGATTTCAAAGATGCATATTTAAAATTGTTTGTTTATAGGTAACATCGTGACAGGTCAAGTAAAGCCTTTCTGCAATCTGCAGCTAACTCACTTTACCTCTTTGGGTCTATTTTCCTGTCTTTTTCATTAGAACACATGACTTTTGTTCATACTGCTGTGAACATAAAATGAAAACTTGAAGTACTATAGGTGGAAAGAGAAACAGACACATTACACTATGAAAACATCACTTTTTTTTTTTTTTTTTTGCTGTAAGGAAATCTTCTCTGGGTCTCCTGAGTAATCCTTATTGATCTTCTACTGCATCCATATTATAGCATTCAGTTTTAAGGTCTATCTCTCAAAAGAATCTCTATAATGAAACTGCTATACTTCTTTAAAATTCTACCTTCTGGAATAAATATAATCACAGCTTCAATTTCCTGCCTGTTTATCATATACCAGGCATTATGCTTTATTTTATGTGTCTTGTTTCAATCAAAACAACTCCCTTTAATAGTAAGTATTATTATTCCCTTTTTCAGATGAGGAAACTAACTAGAGAGAAAAAGCTATCTACTTATGGTCACATTGCTCTTGTCTAAGGTAGGGACTTGAATCACAGTGTTTATCTCCACCTCAAGACAATGCTTTCCAGATTTGGAAGGCCTCAGCTGAACTGGAAAACACATCAGAGGAGACTAGAGATAATAAAAAGAAACTGCATTTGAATCAGGAAGACTATACCTACAAGTCCAGTTGCAAAAATCCAGAAGTCAGAAGACACAAGTTATCTTTTGTGTACGATCACTGACCGACTGACAGCAGACAAGCTTTTTCCTTTCTGACCATCCATCTCTTCCTTTATTGAAATGAGAATTTCAGAGAGGTGTTGTGCTCCCTTCTGACACCCATAGTCCTATTTCAATGAGGAATAAAGTCTAATATCTTTCTGTCTTGGACTTTTCTACAGGCTGGAAACTGCCTCAGCAGTAAAAATTCTGCACTCAGGATGGGTGTAGGTCAGAACCTACCACCCAGACTGTCTAAGCTTGAAGACAAAATGGTGAGACCACCTAGGATTCCTTTGGCTCAGGAAAAGCCAAAGTGTTCCAATGCACCCTTGGGCTAAGAATCAGAAGGTAATGCCTGGGCACTTTGGAGAGCAGCTGGCAGCCAACAATGCAGAAAGAAGGAAACAATCACTTTCTGAGCCTGACAATGTGCCAGCGACTCTATACAAACTAATATAATTGAATTAATTGGAGAACACTTCAATGACATAGAAAAGAAAAGGGAAAACTA